TTGTGTGTTCTGGATTTCAATTCGGATTTAAACTACTTACTTTTTCGCCCAAAAGACGGGGTACTATGCACATAGAGGGGCATTTGCAATGCAACTCTAAGACGGAGGAGGGGTTTCAGCTTAGACCCGCGGTAGAGGCTGTGTTCTTTATTATTTTTGGATGTGCGGTCTAGTTTGAGCTTTCAAGGTCAAGAGATTCTGAGGGGTGATTTGGAGCCTCCATCGCTGTACAAGGCTCTTTGCACTGTGTGGATGTGGCACTGGCGGGAGACCCTGTTCGGTATTGACTTGCATGCACTCAGAGTGTTGATATTTCCGATATCTGCGCGCTAAAGCTAGCGATGAACGCTCGAACCTTAAATCCCTGCCCTTGAGCCCAGAAACCCTACAGCCCTCGTCTCCATGAAGTATTTCATAGTGCTACCACCCCGGCCTTAAAGCCCAACTTTCCTGAGGTCGGCGCCTTCCTTGTCTCCGCGGGTGCCGATAACTTTGATCTTCCGGAGCCTGGGAGCTGGGATTGGGGTTTATGGTTTAGGGTTTAGGGTTAAGGGTTGAGGGTGTGGGGNNGGGGGGGGGGGGGGGGGGGGTATTCTTGAGGCTTTATAGGCTTTGGGTTTAAGATTTAGGGGCTTGATTAAGGTTTTCGTTAGTGGTGATAGCTTCCGGGGATCTGGGATTTAAGACTGTTTATGCTTCTAGGGTTTACGGTTTATAGGGGTTTAGGTGTTTTGAGGGTAACGATGATCCAAAGCCACAAGAATGTTAGCTTGGCAACATGCCGATAGAATGTGGGCTTAGTGATGTTGATGCATGGCTATTCCCTCGCAGAAAAGCACCTGGATGTACCCGCCTTCCTGTCCCCGCTTGTTGGGCCGTTTGCAGGGGCCACTGTGCTACTCGTCTTGGCCGTAGGTCAGCTGCATAGTTTAGGGTTTAGGGTTTAAGGTTCACCTGTCACTGGTACCACGTTAGTTTTTTTTGCTCGGGGTCGCTGCGGCTACGATGCACATTTGCCTTACGATATGGGGCAGGGTCCGGTTTAGGGTCAGCCGTTTATTTTGGGGATCGTACAGGGGACCCTACTTTAGAGAACTA